AGAAATCATATAAACATTGTATATTATATATGTGTGTGTAACCTTTTTTTTGAAAATAAAAGAGACCGATCAAATACCTTGAGGATTTGTCTTCCACTCTTGAAATAACTCAGCTTCAAGTTTTTTATCAAAATCTTTAAATATAATTAAATTTCTTGCCTCCCTGTTTTCTTGCTCGTTATCTTGCTCCTTTTCTTGCTCCTGTTCTTGCTCCTGTTCTTGCTCCTTTTCTAGATCCTTTTCTTCCTGATCATTTGTAACATTCATATCATTTGTATTATTTTCGCCATTTTCACTATGTATCTCTCTCGCAATTATGTTCCCGTCTTCATCCGTTGAAACCTCTGTTATTAACCTTGGCTTTTTCTTATTCCTATTATCATCACTACATACATAAGAAATCTGACGGATGAAAGGTCCAGTAATTCTAATCTTATTAAATTTGCCTACTGTCTTTTTCTTTTCTGCCTCCTTTACTTCATAAGCACGCAATGATGCCAAATTTTTCTCCTCCGTTATTTTTGCTTGTACAAGTAACTCTTCCTGAGTTTTTCTTTTTTCAGGAATCTTTTCTTTTCTTGGAGTTAAAGCCTAATTAAACAGATATTTGTCAACCAACAAAGTATTGACCACTGAATTATGATATTTAAAAAGTTTCACTATAACCTTTCTCGCTTCATACTCTTTCAGTTTTTCTGCCAACATTTGTTTACTCTGAACTGTATGAGTTCTGGATGAAGAACGAGTTCCAGATAAGAGAGGAACTATATAAAATTAATATATTACGTATTAAATAGTTGTAAAGAATAAATATCATATAAATTTGACAAACATATACCTTGAAAGGCTTGTTTCTTTTTCTTTTCTGATATTACTTTAGTTGATTCGTTTTTGATTTCTCGACCAGGAACAACTTTTGATGCTATTACAGATTTTTTTTTATCTGCGCGTAAAAACGGAGCTAAGGGCGTTAAATTGGATTTCTTTGCTCTCTATTTAAAAGAAATATAATTACATGGTTAATTATTAAAAATAAAAATATTAATAATTATCGAATTAAAAATGATAAGACTACCTTCTTTTTCTCGATTTTTTCATCTGCCAAAATTTGTTTTTCCGCAGCTTCATCATCATCATCCTCTTCTGCTGTACTTTGATCGAAGTCGGAATCAACAGCATCATCCTCTTCTAAATGATTTAAAGTATTTAAGCAATTTTTAAAAAATCGATTTAGAAATTCAAACAGGATAAAAACCTTGAATCATCATAAAATCTTCATCATTTGCCACTTCTTCAAACATTTCTTCTATTTCCAATTCCCGTTCAAGAAGCTCCCTCATCCTATAAAGTTTGTTTATATTAATACGTAATACGTCTTGGAAATTTGGAAGAAATTCAACAAAACTTTACCTATTGCCGGCATTAGGACGTCGTTCTCTAGTAGCAACAAGCGACATATTTAATTTACAACTGAATAAAGTTATGTAAAATATTTAAAGGGTATATAAATGAAAATAAAAATATATTTTTATTTTATTTACTTTGTATAAAATTACAGGAGAGAAAGTTGTATAAATAATTTTTTTTTCAATTTCATGCATGTTATAATTGTTGTGTGTAACTCAAACATAATATCCCGACGGTACCGGAAAATTTTCCGAAATCACGTGAAATAACATTTCATTCATTCTAGCTTATTAAAATTACATTGTGATTAAAAGAATCACTTTCAACGCTAATTAAATTAACATTTATCACCATTTGTCCATTCTGTATGTTACGGCCGCAAATGGTACAACTGCATCTGGTCTATAAACCACAAATTCTTCATAATTCAATCTAGCTCCCACCCGACCATGAACTGAATGGCAAGGATAAGGCGAATCCGTTAAATATGGCATATCTTCAGTCGTCGTGTGGCATCTTCATTCCATTTATAACATTTAAAAGAGAAGAGTTAGATATGAAAACAAATGAAAAGTTGAGAATCATCCGTTAAAATTCTATACCTTCCCAAGGCAACGAAGCAAAATAAAATTGTAAAGAGATCTTCCGATCCACCTCTGGGAGTAGCATAACTATGTGCTTTTGACGAATTTGGTGCAAAATAAATTCCCGATCCAAACCTTGATAAAATGAAGTAGATAATTAATTAAATTACAATCCTCTCTTTTTTGAAGCATAAATTCATTCTTACCTCTTAAAGGGATTTGCAGACCCACTCTTACTAATATCGAATCCGTTACTCAATATATTGCACCCAGCGCAACTTTCTGTCGAACTTGGATCACAAGGTTTATCATCAAACTTGCATTTAATGGTTGTTCCATGCCATAAAGGTTTTACATGTGGATCGTCTAATATTAACAATAATTCTGACATATATTCGTCAAATCTTTGACAAACTTTCCTATCACTCATCATAAATGAGACAAACTCTACATTTGGCACTCCCATGTGCATGGGATGTTTCCATGTGGTGTGAAAGTGGTCAACAATTTTTTCGTTGATTTTGCGTGTTCCAGCAAAGATAGCCGCTTGACGCAATAACTTTTCTGAGGAAAATATTTTTAGTAAAGCTGTAAAGTCTGGACGAATTTCTGGGTCAATCGCTATTATATTTGATAAAATAAATTATAAAATTTATTAAAGAGTAGGATTCACAAAAAAAAAAAAAAAAAAAAAAAAATTTTAAAAGACATACCTCGTTCGCAGTCGTCACAAAGACAACCTTGTCGGGTTTTTTCTTTAATTTTTTCATATTCTTCCCGTGGGAAGGAATGCTTAGAAAATTGTTGGTCATCTTGAAACGTATTCTCTTCATCAGAAGACTCTAATTCCCAAAGGCTCGTTAATCTTGAAGGTTTTCTAAGCAAAGACATTTCGAAAAAAAAGGAAAAGGATATTTGTATTTGTTATTCAAACCCTCATTTATACATTTATAATAAGCATAATGTAGTTTCACCAAATCCAATTGATCTACGAATTACTGTAGAATAGTAAAAAAAGTTTTCGTGATTCAAAGATCATCAATGTATACGAGATTAAAATGGAAAAAGTCATTTTTACATATATTTTTTCTTTTTCATGCGACCTTTTTAAAATGAGACTTGTAATAATTATTTTTAATATTTTAACTAGATATTTCTACCTATAATTCCTCATTTCTTATCTTTAACCTATATCAGAAAAATTATTTCTGTATTTTTATATATTT